GGGGGGGGGTCACCACCACACAAGGAACTGTATTAAAGGGTCGCGGCATTAGGAAGGTTGAGAACCACTGCTCTGTCTCCTTGTCCACACTTGGTTGTCCAGATTTTTAACGGCAGTCATTCGCATAGTGTGTCCTGGGATCCCATTGCGGTTTTAATTCGCATTCCCCAACAGCTAATGAAGGAGTCCCTGAATTATTCGACTGCTAACAAAAATGTTGACAGTTCACCCCACTGCCCCTGGGCGCCTTTGAAGAAATGCCTGGCCCCATACTTCCAAAAGGTTACAGCTTTGACACGCTATAAAGTTCACCTTGACTTTGTAACACACAGAGTCACCGTGAATCAGAATGAACTCTGGCAATTCGTGGCGATGGTAGTAATGGCTAATGAGGAGCCCCTGGGCCGTGCAAATGTTCACTTAAAGCAAAATCTACCCTTCGTGAATGCCCCGAACTTGGGCAAAACGCCATGTTGGCATACCTCCTTTCTGACTGCGGATGCGGATGCGCAGAAGGCTAGCTCTTGGGCGGAATCATGCTGGGACCCATGGCTGCTGGTCACTGCCCAGGAAGATAGATCCCTATGCTGAACTAGACGCGGGCCACCACCGGAACAAACCCATGTGCCAGAACGGCTGTCCCATTTTATGTTCCCACTAGCCATCGGTAAGCGTTTCAAGGCTGCCCCCCTTGTTCTCAGCAGTATTTTGCTATTTCCTGTTTTTAATTTGTAATGCATTTCCCTGATCTTAGCCATCTGAGTGCGGAAGGCATTTGTGGCTTCGATGTGCATCTTTTTGAAGGCTAACAACGGCACGGAATGCCCTTCCACCTATGTTGGCCATGTCAAGAATTTCTTTTGTGAAATATTTGTGGAAGTCGTTTGTCTCGTTTTTTATTGGGTTTGTCTTTCTGTTGCTAAGCTGAGGGTTCTTTTTATCCATGTATATGTACAATATTATATTAGACGCTTAACAGATAGATGATTCCTGAAGTCTCATTGACCAGTTTTGCGTTTTGCTGTTTCGGCTTTTGCATGACAGCCATGTCCCTATGTTTGGTTTTCCTAAGAATTTTATGGTTTTAGTTTCCACATTTATCTCCTTAACCCATTTGCAACCAGTTCTTGTGTACGATGGGAGGCAATAGAACTCTGCAGCTATTTAGATGATTAAATGGCTTCTCCCCCCACCTCACTTTTTGTTTTCTGATTAATTTTGAAATATTAAACCAAATCATTTGTAGGACAAATTCCACTGGGTCTTGATATATGATCTAGTTTACAGATTGTTGGAGTCTATGGATTAACATTCTGCTCCGGTCTCTTACATCATGTGTATGAGTACTGTTGGTTTATAAAATTCCTTTCTCGTAACATCTTCGTCTGGTTTTGTGACTGGATAGTAAGGAAAGGTTCAGGTCTGGAGACAAGAAGTAGCTTGTCTATGGGCATTGCTGCTTAGCTGAGAAGTTTTCAAAATTCCCCTCGGAGTTTACAATTTAGAAAGTATCATAGAACAACCCACCCATCTTCCATGCTATCCCAAGGAGAGTTAATATAGCAACTTAACAGGATGACATTGTGGAAAATACATGAAATCTGATCTAAGATAGCCCCGAGTCAGGGTTCCTTTTATTAAGGAACTTGACCTGGCTCAAGTGTTCAAGGTCTCTCTGAATCCCGAAGTAGAGTTGCTGCAAAGATCGGAGACAATGTATATGACGACAGAACCTGCCTTCTGGCAGATAGTTGGTATTCATTAACTGATAATTATTGCTGTGGAGATTTACTGCAGAAAGCAGTGATGGGTCGGAAAGTTGATAACATCCTTTGGCACATCCCCATGTTCCCAGAAAGACACCTCCAAATACCGAGGAATACATCCTCCCCTGTGGACACCTTCCCCTCTGTATATACAACACACTCCCACGAACACTCTAAGCACTCCAAAAATAATCATTGACAAGAAAGTCCATAAAAAGGTAGGGTAGAGCTACCCAGAAGTTGTTGAGAGATGATGTCAAAAAGCAATGGGCATTTTCCCACCCGAAAGCCATCTGTGGAGATATGATGAGATGGAATAAATGCAACCCACTGAAGAAGTCATATTTGCTTCTATCTGCCCAAAGCTTAATATCACTACTCTTTTTGCCCCCACCACAATCTAGAAATTTCCTATAAAGTAACTGTGGTGGTTACATAATCTGTTGTCAATTTGAGAGGATTAAGAGTGAAGGGGTGGAGTTTAGTCTGTCAATCAGTTCACAGCTTGATGACCACATTTGGAGGCGCTAAGGAGATAAATAGCTCGCTTGAGGTGGAAAACATGCTCACTCCCTGGGAGATATTGCAACTCACAAGACCCATGAAACTTATACTAGTGCCGCAGAGACTCCTGCCAGCACTGAGATGCTTACAACACCAAGGGATCCACAAGGCTTCCCACCCACTGGCCTGTGATCTTTCTGCAGTCAGTGTCATTGCATATGTTTTGTGAGTCTAAAGAGGAGTTTTTAGATTGGTATCAGGCATGTGGGCTAATATTGGACTTGATCTGGACTGGGCTGGGATGTTTTCTCAATATTCAATGCTCTTGTGTATAAAGCTCTTTTTTTTTTTTTCTACAAGAACAGATAAACAGACGCTGGTATATTTATATTATGGAATTTTATACATCCATTAAAAACAATAACACTGTATGACATGGACAAAACCATAGAGCATTATGCTTAGCAAACTCAATCACTCTTACAAGGATAAATATTTAATATTATCATTGGTATAACCCAAAAGAAAGAAGAAGTGTGGTGTTTTGGTTGTTGTTTGTTGTTTTAGTTATATGTACAGATGTGTTTGACACAATGGATACATGCATGGATTGTGATAAAAGCCCCCAATAAAATAAAATAAATAAACTCTTTTTAAACACATATGAGTCTCTATGAATTTGTTTCTCCAGTCTACCCAGACTAACAAACACATTAACCAAATAGGGTATATCCAATTTCTATCTATCTATGAGCTTTACTGCATTTTAAGCTTTAAATATCATTAATTAAGATGAATAAAATAGTGTGGTAGAAAAAGTAAAACATGAGGGTCCAATTTTTGACTAAGCACCTAACCAGATACTGGTTTTTAAATTAATCAATCTGCACTTCAGGGGAGTCTAGGACTAGAACTAATAATATCTAAAATCTTTTATGTTTGTAAATTTTTGTGGGAAAATGGAAAGCTATATTCTCTTGCTGAGCAGAAGGCTGGAACAGTGAAGAATAAAAGTGTTCAAGTATACTTATAGATTTAAGCAATATCATTTATAACCCCAGCGGGTAACTTCATAGTCATTGACAATGAAAATAAATGTAAAAAATCAAGGTGGCAAAAATAATATTTTTTTAAAGTAACAATGGAGAAGTAGCTTACCAGGTATTAAGATGCCTTCATAAGGAACATTAACAAGTGGGTATTATTGAGTGAGATAATCACCAAAATTAAGAATAAATACATAAAGAAACAAACAACCCAAGGAGATAAAATGGATATTTCCTGATTCAATACACACCTAAACTATTATAAACAGAAGGATATAAAATGATCTCATGTAAGTTTTTAGTCACTATCAACATGGGGAAAACAACTTTAGAGCCTAAAGCTCAGATTAATAATCTACTTCAACAGACATAATCCATTTCCTGTTTAAGTGTATGCACATGATATATATGCAAACATATATCTCTATACATATAAAATGCAACAGTGCTATATGTATCCATTTTGAAGAGAACAAGATGTTTTGTCAATAAAAGAAATAACAAGTGAACTGATGATAAGGTGACTGCTTTGGGCGATACAACTGGCAGCCACATGAACGAAAAGCACACACAAAACAAAGAGCAAAAACGATTCACCACAAACTGGAAAGAGAAAAATGAGAGAACAATAGGGGAACATCATCATAAGTATCCCCAGTACAGACTACCATTTAAGGGATGTCATGTTAAGCTATGGGGCAATCGTCAGAGCCGGCTGCACAGATGGCTGAAGGACAAGAACAGGCAGTTTGCACGGCAGAAAGCACAAAGAACGAACGAACACTTGGGAAGTGTTTATCTTCCCTACTAATTAAATAGATGCAAATTAAAACAGTTCAATAGATGGTCTTACACATATTTAAATTCTTATAATTTTAAAAAACAAAGCTAAGAGATTTGGCGATGCAGGTGTACCTAAACATTTTTGGTAGAGACACTGGTGTTAATTTTCCGGAAAGAAAACTGACAGGGAGCAAGGTTCACAGAACATATAATATTCTTCGATTTGGCAGATGTGCTTTGAAAAGCAAATCCCAAAAACTCAATATGAGGGATTTATTTTTGCAAAGATGTTTATAGCGATGCTTTTCAAAATGGTAAAAGAA